CGGCTTCCACCAGGCCTCTTACTCCACTGCTCAGAGTTGGCATGGAAGGGACTCTTCAAAGAAGCCAGTGAGTGCCAGGGTCCTGAAATGATCTGCGTACAAGTGTCCCAGGGGTGGACTGTCTTAAGTCATTTATCTAAAAGTAGCCAGTGGTTTGGGGCAGACTCCTCACTCTCCTGACAATCTCATGAAGCTCCTTTTACAATGCAGGAAGTAAAGAGAACAGTGTCAAGGCCAGTACAGTCGCAGTAGGCCACAGAAGTGGTGAAAGTGAAGGTTGCGAATTTTCTGTAAGAAACTGCAGAAAAGCAAGCTAATGAAGGAATGCCAACGCCTTCTTAATTTAGAAGAGGGAAGAAAATAAGGGAGGGAGGAAAGATAAATAAAGTGTGTGTGTGCAAGAGAGAGAGGAGGACCATGAGAGACAGCGTTCTTGTTTGAGGCCTCGGTGGGAGTTTCCGGCTGCAGGTTGAAGTGTCACTAGGGTGTTTCCCCAGAAGCGTGTGTGGTCTCACACTGCCAGGCGGTGTTCCAGAGCCTCAGGGAGAAACACACTTCACTAGAGAAGGTTCAGGTTGTGACTAGGTATGGCTCTTCACCATTTGTGCCATAGTGTTACAACTTGCTGACAAGGAAACCAGAGAATATTTAACTCTTCCGGGGTGGAGGGAGCTTCTGGAATAATCCGGTGGTTGTTTCAATAACTAGCCACTGTGGTCTCTCACTCCAAAAAATCAGGACAACAGGAGACGGGTGAGACCTTGACTCACAGGTCACCGTGCGCCTGCTCTGGCTCTCGATGATGCACAGAGAAGGGACACCTGGGAAGCAAGGGGACTTTTCAGCCCAAGGCTGATCTCAATAGGAAAATGACCACATTCCTGTGGAGTGGGGTTTTTCTGTTTTTAAGCAGTAGCTACTTTGCCCACTTCATTGCTCGAGCTCTGATAAACCTTCTGGTCCCTTGTGAGGTCATTTTTTCCTCGCACCATACTGGTCTGCAGCAGCTGGTGAGGGGGACGGGGCAGAGGTCTGACCCTCATGTAGATAAATACAGGGTGGGAGATTTGTGGCCAAGCAAAGCAATCTGTTTGAATTCCTTGGTGGGTCTGATACAAATGAATGCAAGCCCCAAACCAAGAGGGTAGTAGATGGGTCAAAAGGCTCCGGTGCCATGTTTGAAAGAATTCCCATCAAACAGGTCAAGGAGCTAGAACTCCCGACCCCCACCTTGCAGCAGCCTCGATTCCAAAGTCTCCATCTCCACATTCCCACGTTTGCCTTCCTGGCAGCGGCCCGGGCTCACTGGCCCAATCCCTGCCCTGGGCTCCATAGCACTCAGAGTCGTCTCCACAGTGCCCCACTTTCTTTTGTGCTAATTTGGCACGAGTGAGTCTTTGCTTCCCAGCCACACTGAGGGGTCTTGGCGGTCCTATATCTCTTTATTTTCCAAAGTCCTCAGTATGGTTCCTGGACACCTAGTAAACCCTCTTCATAAGCAATGGTTGCTTCATTGGTTAATTGGTTAATGAAGACTGTCCTTTCCTCTCTGGGTAATGCCTAGCATAGAAAATGTGAAACCCCAGATTTCAGATCACCGCATCATCACGTTTATAGGAAGCCCCATGAATTCCCACCAAAGCCGTGGGCCAGTGATGCAGGCAAACAGCCAGAGAGCACGTGTCCAGCCAACCAGGATCCGAGACAAGGCGGCGCTTTGTTCTGCTAGAAGGGGCAGTAGGGATGTGGCGGTGGTCACAGAGCCTGCCCACACCCGGAGAACTGGAATGCAGACTCAGGGGGCCTCTCTGGCGCTAACACAGTGTTTAAGAGTCAGTATTCAGGCTCTGGAGTCAGACTGGCCTGAGATGGAATCCACACGGGGGCCTAGAAGGAAACAGGGTCACAGGAGGACAAAGGTCAAAGGTGGAAGTCATGTGGGCGGTAAGATCCCTTCCTGACCTGTGTTCTTCTAGAGGTGTGGCCCATTCCTCTCTCCCTGGCCCATCTCACACTCACAAACACACCCGCCCACTGAAACAAAGTCCTGGAAGGTCCTCTCCAAGGTTTTCCTCATTAAAAAAAAAAAAAAAAAAAAAATTACATGCCTGTAGTCCCAGCCACCCGGGAGACTGAGGCAGGAGGATCTCTTAAGCCCAGGAGTTTAAGGCCAGGCTGAGCAACATAGCAAGACCTCATCTTTAAAAAAAATAAAATAAAAACAAAATTCTGAGCTCCTGATCCCTTTCTCCTGCTATTAATATTTCCTGATATCTGCCTCCCATCTTCCCAGTGGGGTTCACTATCCTATGGCTACCAGTCCCCTTCCCAGGAGGCTGCTGCCCTACCCTCTGTCTGCAGCTCCTAGCCCATCATTTGCCCTCCTGCCCCCATAGAAGGCCACTACCTTTTCCCCCTGGGTTTCCTCTTAGCAACTCCCCTGCCCCACCTTGCCTTTTTTTTTCTTTTTTTTTGCTAGAGCTATAGGGACCCAGTGGGAGAACCACATTCCTTCTGCCCAGCATCCTAAGGAAACAGGCTGAGGTTTACCCACCGGGCCCAACAGAAAGGAAAGTGGCCTATGAAGGGCAAAGACACTTTTGAGAGAGAAAGCTCTTAATCAAACACAAATATCAAGAATATTAGCAAAGGGACTAGAGAAAATTGCTATCAAAGTAAATGGCTTTTTGTACAAATGTTCCCTTTATTTGTGTTTTCCCCGGTGTGCCATTCTTTCTTTAAGGCTTGGTGAACAGATGCGCTTTTGAAATTGTTGATTAACGTATCCTTTTTCCGACCCCTTCCCACTCACCCAAACTCCTGGGAGCGGTAACTATACACAAAACCAAGTCGAGCCGCTCAAGTGTTCTTCTTCACCTTAAGTAGCCTTTGATTCTCCAGGTGCAGAAACCTCAGCTGCATCTCGGCAATTGATTTCATTGAACTTTAGAAATGGACCAATTCTCGGGAAATCATCTCATCCAGTTCTCTGCCTCCAGAGAGGAGAGGCTGTGTGATCTCCTGGGATAAAATGCTCTCCCAGTCATTATGGTCCTTTTACCCTTTTTTCTTCAAGATCAAGGGGTGCCACATCTACCCCTTTCCAGCCCGTGATCTATGGTATCCTAAGACTTCTTCCCCAAGGGTGTGAGATGGAGCAAGAAGGCAGTCCAGCCTCCAAGAATTCATTACTTCCTTGACAGACACCAGATCTCTAAAAGAAAGCACAGAATTTGGCCCCCAGGTCACTGGCAGGAGCCCCACAGCTCTCATCCTAGGCTGATTTACATATCCTCATCCCCAGTGTTCTGCATCTTTTATCCATGAAAGTGTTCAGACAGGTGAACATCCCATCAAAACAATTCAGTGTTAGAAATGTGACAGTTTTCTTCCATTTTCTTTTTTTTTTTTTTTCCATAAGATTAGAAAAAACTCTGGGTTGACTTTCACAAGCTCGATTTGATCCCTATGACAAACCACCTGCCTCTCGTTGATTCTCATTCACAGCTTCATTCCAAGGAAACAGCCTGCTTTGTAGGTGTGGAGAATAATGCAGGGGTGGGCACTGAGGTGGGGAAGCTGGCGTGGCCTGCAGGTGCCAGTTGCTGTGCTACAGACATGCCAGGAACAGGCTGGATTTGTAAAGCATTGGTGCCACGTGGCATAGATTCTTTCAAGTGGGGTCTTGGCGAGTTGTTCTGTGCATCCCTTACTAGCAACGGAGGGGATAAGAATGTGCTGTAGTACTTCGGCCAGAAGTGAGGAGGGCTCCTAACATGATTAAAACCATGGCCTTCAGGAAAAGACTGAATGTCAAGTGCGACAGTGATGGATCAATCCTCAGTTCAGATCACAGTCAAGTAGATCTTCCCTGAGATGTAGTGCTGATGAGAGAGAGACGCTTGGGATGGTCTTAAGTTCTTTTTTTTTTTTCCCTTTTGTCTGATACTTTAGCTGGTGGGGATTTTTATTTTCTTGTAAGCCTTTATTTTTGGATATCAATTTATAGTGCTGACCCCAAGATTGTTCATCGGACTTTGGGTTGAACATAAGTCTGAAAGGGCCACACACATTCGCTGGGGCTGTCTCAAGCTGACAGCCCGGAAAGGCGTAATTAGCTTGTGAGACGGGAAGAAATAAGACCCTGCTCTTTGCCACATGGTTGATTCTCTCTTCTAATGCTTTACCATTTCAGATAAGTCATTTTCATGGGCTCTGATTTCTGTAAGTTGAATAGCATAATGAATAGAGAGACCTGTCTTACCCCCAAAAAACTATCATAAAAAATAAAAAGATAGATGGTGGCAATACGGGAGAAAATTCAGAGTAAATTAACTTAGCTGTATTCAAGCCTAGCTAGTCAGAAGGGATGCCCACGTTCGATCTATTCTAAACCATGAAGAAAGCCAATAGGAAAAACAGACTGGGGAGGAAAGAGGAGAGATGTTGGCACAGATACGTGAGGGTGGGGCGGCATAATGAGATTCTTTCCAGTTCTGCTCTTACATTGAAACATACAATGATGAAACGGGACTTCCTTAAATTGCCATACGTTTATTTGAAATCCAGAGGAGAAAGATTCTGGTACTTTGTGTCCACTTAGACGTGTGTACATAAGAAGACACTGTGTGCTGCACTGAATGGGCGTCCCAGTAACAGCGACTGATGTTGGGCATACGATGCTGTTGAAGGTGCCTTAGATAAAACCCACACCTATCTCGGTCATGAGTGACAGTCATCAAAAAGACAGAAGTGAAGGTTTACTTGGCACTGAAGACCCGGCCTTTCTCATTATTTCTGTTTTTCTGGTTGTTGTTGGAAGAAAAGACGGATCATCCAAAGGAGAAATGATGCAGCAACGTACATACTGAATGATCTAGAAGTGGATGGTCTAGCTGCCTGCCAGAATGCAGAGTCTTTCTCAGAAAGGTGGCATCTCTGTCTTTTAGCCATGGTGATAGAACTTGTGATAAGTTGGGTTTTTTTCCTTTTTATTGTAGTGGACATCCCAGAAACACATGGAAGAGAGGGCTATGAAGATGAAATTGATGGTGAGTATTGCTATGATTTAACAGATAATAATGAAATTTAAGTTAGGTTATAAAGCGGTCAACAAAAATAATACCCAGGATATTGGAGGATCGACACTTAGAACTGTCAGTCAGCAATATATAAAAGAATCCAGAGAATGAAGAAACCATCATTGCTCTGTCAAGGTCAAATTTAGAGATGTAGAAAGCTTATTGAGTTCCCTCTGCCTAATCTGAAACAGGTCCCCTCTTTCAGGCAGCTCTTTACATGGATGGACTTCAAATCTGGATAAACCCTTTAGGAGTGAAAGGCTGGCTCCTCTGTTCGTGTCCCTGCTTGAACACCTTGACCTTTCCCAAAAATGCCCTGAGTGGATGAGCATAAATGTGAATATTCTGCCAGGCCTGCTGTGGTTTCTGGTTCCCTGGCTTGGGGCAAACCTTTCACATACCATCCAAGACGCCAGATTGGGGCACATTGCAAGATTGAGGTTTCTTTTTCACAATACCCACCTCATATTTTCCTATTTATTTCAAGAGCTATTTTTCCACTTCACACTTGGGGAAGCCAAAGCGAGAGTCCTGACTAGAGGGCTGCTGGGCAGACACGGAGCTGTCATTGCTTCCCTCGACTCAGAACAGCACAGGTCTCCCTGGGCTTCTCTGAGTGCCAGCGTTGATCTCCAAGAGACTCAACAGCAAGATTCCACTCAGAGAACAATTTTAGACCAAGATTGATGCCTTTAAGAAGAGCTGTTTATAGAGCAGCTGCTTTCAACCTGACCTTAATCCAAAACTTCAAGTGTAGTTATAGAAACTAGAGTGACTAACCCCCACAGCACCTTGTTAACTGACTGCAGACGCTGCCTGCAAAGCCCAGTCCAGCGCTCCTTTTATGGGCAAACGCGCACGACTGACCTCCACAGAGAGGCTGCGACAGATCCAGCAGCAGAAGCATGATGATGGAGGGGGAAGAGCGAGGGTTGTGGGAGCAGAAAGCCTGATTTGTGTTCCCGGCTTAACTGCTTGCCAACTCCGTGACCCGGACCGCGTTACATAGTCGCCTCACTTCTTCAAACCGCAGTATCCTCACCTGTTTAAATATATATATTATCATCCTGCCTTCTTCATAGGATTATTAGGAGATGCTGAAAAATGAGCCCTAGATGTGGTCATGCCTTGGCCACACTACAGAAACACACGTAGATTAATCCTGCTAGGGCTGCCATACCAAAGTGCCACATACTGTGTGGCTTAAACAGCAGAAATGTGTGTTCTCACAGTTCTGGAGGCTAGAAATCCAAGATCAAGGCGTGGACAGCGTTGGTTCCTCCTGAGGGCCGTGAGGAGAGTGCCTGCTGCCCACTGTGTGTCTGTGTCCCGATTTCCCCTTTCTGTAGGGACACCACTCACACTGGACAAGCGCCCACCCTGATCACCTCATTTTAACTTGACTGCCTCTGTAAAGACCCTATCTCCAAATAAGGCCACATTCTGTGGAACTGAGGGTCAGGGCTGCAACATGAATTTTAGGGGCGGGGACACACAAGTCAACCCATAGCAGTGAGCATGACGCACGCCAAGGGAGGTGTGGCGGCTGGAAAAAAATCTGCTGCTTCTATGGCCAGGAATGCCAAGTTGGAAAACTCGTCATGTGAAAATAGTCCCCACCTGTCCTTCGATTGACTTGAGACAGTTGGAAGTGAGGGACAAGGAGGCGGCCTGGAACCAAGGCCATCCCAGGGGCTCCAGGAGCACCCCGAAGGCTCTGTTGTAATCTGAGCTTACCTAATATAATTCAAGTTGTTTAAGTATCAGATGTTTAGACAGTACTTACTGTGTGCCAGACATGAAGCGCTTAACAGATGTCAGTTCATTTAATCCTCCTAACCCAGTTGAGATGGATTTTATTGATATCCCCATTTTACAGCTGAGAGAACTGAGGCAGAGAGGGGTTAAAACAGTTGCCTGAAGTTGCACAGTTGGGACGTGGTAGGACTGGGCTTCAAACACAAGCGGTCTAGTTCTAGAGTTCCTGCTGCTTACTGCTGTGCCCCGAGGAGCCTGTGGGCTGGGGAGGCGCAGTTATTTCACCCTGACATAGCAGTGTGCCTGCAATCTCTCGTGTGTTTTGTATATCATAGATGAGTACGAGGTGGACTGGAGCAATTCTTCTTCCCCAACCTCAGGGTCTGGTGCCCCCTCGGCCGACAAAGAAAAGAGCTGGCTCTACACGCTGGACCCCATCCTCATCACCATCATCGCCATGAGCTCCCTGGGCGTCCTCCTTGGGGCCACCTGCGCGGGGCTCCTGCTCTACTGCACCTGTTCCTACTCGGGCCTGAGCTCCCGCAGCTGCACTACGCTGGAGAACTACAACTTCGAGCTCTACGATGGCCTCAAGCACAAGGTCAAGATGAACCACCAGAAGTGCTGCTCCGAGGCATGACGGATTGCACCTGAATCACGGCTGACGTTTCATTCCAGCAAGAGGGGCTGGTGAAGATTACATTTTTTTTCCTTTGGAAACTGAACGCCATAATCTCGATCAAACCAATCCAGAATATGGAAGGTATGGACAGGACAGACAGGCAAGTCGAGGGAGGGAGGGAGATGCAGCCACAAAGGGGGTGATCACCCACCTCGGACTGCGGTGGCTGAGTCATTGCAGGAACGGGGCTGTGCTCTCTGCTGAGAAAAAGACAGGAGCTCATCTCTTTGGGATCACAGTTCTATTTTGTTTGTGAGTTTGTTATTATTATTATTATTATATTTTATTTCTTTGGTCTGTGAGCAACTCAAAGAGGCAGAAGAGGAGAATGACTTTTTCCGCATAGAAGCGGAGCAGTGATCATTATTCTCCGCTTTCTCTTTCTAATCAACACTTGAAAAGCAAAGCGTCTTTTCAGCCTTTCCATCTTTAGAAATAAAACTCAAAAGAAAAAAAGCCGTCCAGCTTATCCCGTCCTCTGATTGTCTCATGACTTAGGGATTTACTGTGGTGTAGGTTCTGCCAGCCAACCCTACAAGCTGCCGATTCCAGTCCTAGCATTTAAGTAGGATGTTGTTGCCTTTAACTTTTTTTATCCAGGGGAATATTGCCATTTTAGGGTCAGCATGAACAGCTCTTTCTTGTATGCGATTTAAAACAAACCAGAAAGGAAACTTCACACATCAAGATCCACAGAAGCACCTCCATGTTAGAAGCGGACGAGCCTTCAAGTGCTTTGTGAGTGAACAGGAGCCATTCTGTAAATCCAGAGCTTGTGGCGGTGAGGTTCCCTTGTGGGGCCTCCAGTGGTGGTTTTGCCTTTTCTTTCCCCTCCTCCTTGTTGTTCTAAAACATACACATATACACAAATGCGTGCACACACACACACACACACACACACACACACACACACTTTGTGGTCTCTAAGCCCCAGGAAATGGCATTGTTCGATATTCTCAGAGGCAGGCTGGGGAAAATACAGGCTCTTGGTATGTTTCCTTCATGGGCAAGATGTGGTAACCAGTGACCACTGGACGAGAAGGAGAACTGTGGAGATGGAGAGAGAAGCCCAGCCTCTGTGATCGTGTGGTAGCAAAGGCTGAGCAGTGTAGGCAGGGACATTTTGATGAATCTCTCTGATAGGCTCGTAAACACAGATTTCTCCTCTGGGTTATAGCCACCACATCAGCCTTCCAGGAGACGCAGAGCTAGGATGCGCAAGAACTGATTCTAACCAGGAGTCTGCAAGTACCATGGACCAAAATGCTAACCACACTGCTTCAAACCCAGAGAGACTTAGGCTTTCATTCATACACATGCACGCGTGCACACACACACACACACACACACACACACACCGATTTATGTGTTTTTATTAAGTGCCTTGAAAAAATGAAGAAAAATGTATTTTCCCTCTATGTAGAAATCAGTGAGTATCTTACAAGTTAAGGCATTCCTCCTTCCCTAACCCCAATGGCTCCAACCCCAGGTCCCCCAGCTCACCACTGATCCTACCAATGGAATGAGCCCTGTTGCCAAGAGGTAGTCATAGCCCTAGATGATGCTCAGCTACTCTAGAAAAGGAGGCATCAGGAATAGAATGAAACTGTGTGAAGGATGAGATGATCCGCATCAAGATCCAAATCTTGATTACGTATTAACGCCTAAGTATTGCCTGTGTGCTGGGAATACATTTGAAACTCAACCAGTGTGCCCGGCCTGTTGCGTATCAATGGTAAACTTTCAGACCATTTTTGCTGCTATGGTCACCTACAATTTCATTTGTCTCATACCCAGGTGAAAGGGGAAGGGTGAGTGGGACTGGCTGGTTTCTTTAAATGTTAACTTATGAAAATGCTAGCTCAAATGGTAATGTCACAGTGTTTTGTGTGCAGAGAGGGAGAGTTCAACCCACAGCTATTTATTCACGTGTGTGTGTCTTTGCGGGCCTTTGAGTTCTCTGTATCTACTGTGTATGTGAATGGTCACGTGGGATCCAGTGGTGGTGTTGTGACTTTGACCTAGGGCCCGAGTGTCACTGCTGATCTCAGCACTCGTTGGCACAGTGGTAGTTAGAGGTGAAAAGTAAAGCTGTCACGCCCAAGGGCTTAGCTTTAGGAACCCCCTGAGCCAGGAATGCAGCAGAAGCAAGTTTTTAATTAGCCCACCCTCTTCGCCTTCCCATGCAGCTCAGTGTTCAGAAAGCTGGTAAGTCTTAGGGATTTCCAGAAGTAGCCTGCAAAAGAAGAAAAGTTTGAAAGTCTACTCCAGGGGTCCTGGCCCTCTCATGCCCAGTGGACCATTTATAATTCCCCAAAGTCCAGCCCTGCCTCAGGCCTATAGTTCACCTCTAAGTTATGTACTACTCAACCTGCATTCCTCTGAAAGTCCTGTATCCGTATCCGCCATTGACTGGAGGCCCTGAATGGGCCGTGGATGCGGAACAGAAAGCTGCAGGGTACCCAGGGCTACATGTAGATACCTCACCAAGGCTGAAGGCTGGTCTATTGTAAGACAGAAAGAAAAACAGCTGGACCTGATTTTAACTTGGCCAGGGGACAGCTTGGTGCATTTGTTACCTGTATCTGTAGGTAGACTAGCTGACCGATCTCCCTGAGTCGTTCCCTTTGGGAAACCCAACTCCCAGTATTGAACTCCTTTTTGCCTTGTACTGAATGACACATTACCTCCACGCTCTCCTGGACTAGGTGTCGACAGGGCCGCAGGGTTGCTGTCTCTCTTGGGTGGGGCTGGGGAGTTGACAGGGATGAGGGTCCAAGGAATGAGCATGAATGACAAGAAAACAAGGGACAAAGTTAAACTGTCACACAGAAGGTTAACTTTTCCAGAGTTTGCAGTTAAAGGTATTCGACCATTTGCTGGCTGAGCCAGATCACGGGAACTTGAGAGCTTTTACTGTGATTCTTTAATGTAAAAAATAAACAACAATGTCAAACTGTGTTTATATGATTTGTATAAAGCCTTTTTAAGATTACTATTTAAATAAACATTATACCAGAGATGTTTTTTCTGCATTGTTTTCATTGAAGACAAAGAGACTTGGGATGAGGGTGACCAAATCATCCCATTTTGCTTGAGACTTCCCTGGTTTTTAGCACTGACAGTCCTATGTTCCAGGGAACCTTTGTCTTAGCTTGGGCTGCTATAACAGAATACAAAAGACTGGGTGGCTTAAACAACAGACATTTATTTCTCACAGTTCTGGAGGCTGGGAAGTCCAAGTTCAAGGCACCAACAGATTCGATGTCTGGTGAGGGCTCTCTCCCTAGCTTGCAGGTAGCTGCCTTCTCTGTGTGCTCACCTGGCCTTTCCATGGAGAGAGATGGCTCTGTCTTCCTCTTCTAATAAGGACACTAATCCCATCATGAGGGTCCTACTCTCATGACCTAATCTAAACCTAATTACTTCCCCAAGGCCCCACATCTTAATACCATCACAATGGAGGTTAAAAGCTTTAATGTATGAATTTTGGGAGGACACAAACATTCAGTCCATAGCACCCTTCAATCCTGGGCAAACTTAGATGGTAGGTCATTTTCTTGGGATAATGTTTCTTAACATTGGAGTTAGTAGGTTGATCGATTGGTTGGCTTTTACGAAGACATGTGGATGGTGATAGGCCATCTGGCCAGGTGAGCTACTTTAACTCAAAATCTTGCCTGGTGGACGTCAGAGGCTGGGATCCCTACAAACACTCTTCTTCCCTGGGCATCAATAGGCCCTGCAATTTTCAATTCTTTGTTGCTTCCTTTCTGCTCTCTTGATTGTCAATGTCTCTGGTGATTCCAGCGTCTATGACAGTGTGGTGCCTGGACTAGCAGCATTAGCATCATCTGGGAGCTTGTCAGAGATGCATATTCTTGGGTTCCATCCCAGATCTGCTGAATCAGGAACTCTGCAGGTGGGGCCCCAGGGATCTGTTTCAGCAAGCCCGCCATGGAATTCTGATGTGCCTTCAAGTTTAAGAACCATGGGTCCAGGAGAAATGCAAAGTATCCTGGCCTCACACAATGATTAAGGATCTTCTCACCCATTTGTTATTGGGTTCAAAACACAAAAGACTCTGGCCAGTGAAAGCTAAAGGAGCCCGAGTACACTCCTAGGTAGTGCAGCACGTTCCCAGGCAAGGAGGAGGGAGGAGCTTCATTATGAAGCCTTGTCCATGGGAGCTGTGAACTGGAGCCAAATGCACCACCATTCTGAAGCTCCGTCCATCCCAAAAGGGAAATCTGGTTCAATCGTTTATTCAAGAAGTATTTTTGGCCGGACGTGGTGGCTCACGCCTGTAATCCTAACACTCTGGGAGGCCGAGGCGGGTGGATCATTTGAGCTCAGGAGTTCGAGACCAGCCTGAGCAAGAGC